TTTTCTTTTTATTGCTTTTGCTTTTGTATTTTATTTTTATTTTATATTTTTGTATTTTTATCTTGCATTTTTCTGATTTTATAAAATGTAAAAAAATTAAAACCAATACTTAAAATAATTCGAGATTACACTATTCAAATCCTAAAATTACTTAAAATTCTACTTAAAAGATAAATGCAACAGTTAACAATTAAAAGTGCAAAGAAACTATTTTTTGTGATTTTCTTTAATTTTTATTCTAAACAAATCCATACCTAATTAACACTAAAAATGTGAAATTAAATTCCTAATGCAAAATGCATATTTTTGTATTTTTAATATGAATTATCATGCAACCAATTAACACCAAATTCAACAAAAATTCACAATAATCGTAAAATAATAAAGAAATCAATTATTTGAAACTTTTGGAATAAATTGCTTAGGGCAAAAATCACGTGCTCACAAAATGTGCTTTTCCAAATGTTACAATAAGCAGAACTATAATTTATCAATAATTAAAGGACTAACCGAAAGTTAAATGTGCTTCGCCATATTCAGTCAACCCTCTCTATAACAGCCTCATTTGTTCCGATATTTTTTGGCTTTTATAGTGAATGGTTGCTATACACCTATAACATAATTTGACGTTTAAATATTTTTTGGCTGTTATAGATAAATCTTATCCAAAACTTAATTATTTTTCCTTTTTAATGTTACATATAAAAGATAAAAAATTATTCAAATTTAAAATCTCAAAAGATATGCATATTTTACTAGTTAAATAATGAAGAAAGCTAATACATTATTAATAAATTCATAACTAAATGTATAAAGATTTAAACTCGAAGGCAGGCATTTTAAAGCTACCTAGAAAAATAAATTCTTTCAAGATTGATGAAAGAACTTTGTGATTGGAGCTTGTTTCGTAGATTTTATTCTCTTACTAACGATGCAACGCTTGAATTAATGAAGATTCGTGTCCAATTTTTTAGCAAAAAGGTATCCAATAGCTTTTCCTTGAAGACAATCTAATAGCTTACATTTAAAGTTTCTATCTAAATATTTTTTGGAATTTGTCCAATGAAAAAAATATCATGTGCAAATCTTCAAATCTTATATCTTATGCAAGATAAAAACTTTGTTAATAGAAAAGATTGTGTGCATATTTTTTCAATAATTAGTAATCTAAAAGATTCTATATGGCTGTTATAAAAGGGTAAATTTAGATGGAGCGTTCTGCTATAAATACGGTCGTTGTTGTAATAGGTAAAAAGCTGTTATAGAGAGGTAAATATAACTTAAAAAATCCGTTCTGAGGAAAACTTGACTTTTATAATGAATGACCGTTATATAAGGATGTTGTTATATAGTGATTTGACTGTATTATAATAACGAGAATTACAATTTATCAATAGTTAAATGACTAAAAGGGCTATATTATTCTGATATTCTCTACGTCCCATTTTACATAATGTAGTTTTACCTAATACTAGGGGTGTTCATGGTTCGGTTTGGATCGGTTTTTTCCTAAAAAGAAACCAAACCAAGTAAGTCGGTTTTTCAAATATTAGAACCAAACCAAACTAATTAAGTCGGTTTTTCTCGATTCGGTTTATGTCGGTTTTTCGGTTTTTTCGGTTATTTGTCGGTTTTTTCTTAAATATAAGACATACACTACCAAACACATATTCCGGCGACCACATTTTCAATGTAACACTATCAAATCAATTGCCCTTTGAGAAATCTATTATTTACCAAGATATATTGATGATAATTGAATCAAATAGTGATGAATAATTTAAGGACTCAATTAAAAATATGTTATTTTTAACACGAAATGGATTCTTACACTAAACAAAAGAAAACTACCAATCAAATTAGAATGTAAAGGTAAAGAACTATATTAAAAGTGCAAACTATTACATTCACCATAAAATTTTTGAAACTTTGTATAACAATATATATATAGGTGTAATAATAAATTTGAAATAGCTACTCCTATAGTCGGTTTGGTTCAATTTTTTTCTGATTAAAACCAAAACCAAACCAAATTTGATCGATTTTTAAAATTCAAAACCAAAACCAAACCAAACCAAACCAAAAAGTATCGATTTTTTTGGTCGAATTTGGTTTGGTTTTCGGATTGGTTTGGTTTTTCGGATTTTTATGAACACCCCTACCTAATACAAATACATTTAAAAAAAAAGAGGAAGAAAGACTTATAAAATTATGTCATTAAGTGAAAAATAAGATATTTAAAAATATATTGCATCTAAATATAAACTAGACGGGTTTAGCCATTTTCAGGTAGCAGACTTCTTTCACTTTTCAATCATGTAGTTGGTTTAAGCAATGACAACATTTCATAATATTATATTCTATATAATTGGTCATTGCTTTCAACCAACACACTCTCGTAGCAAGAAAGTCAAGTAAACATGACAAAAAGTAATAACTAAGTATGACAACGACAGTAAAATAAACCTCAAACGTAAGACATTTTTTATTTACAAGGGAATGTAAATTCAGAAGTCTCAAACATGAAGACACAAAAACTGAAAAAGTAAAATACATGCCATGTAAATCAAACCTCCCAAATATTTAAGTTGCAAAAACAAAAGAAGTCAGGAAACAAAGAACAAAATATTTTACTTTGCAATCACAGAAATCAAGCATCCAAGCTACATCACATATACTTGAAGCTTAGGGAATTCAATCTGAAACAGTGAACAATAACAAATATCTAGCTCAGACTCTGCATACAATGGACAATGACAGACAGTCAAAGTGCACTTAACATTTCTACAATGTTTGGAAAATTGCAAAGCTTGGGAAGAGTTGGTCTTTTGAATCGGTTACCTTCCAAGTCGAAAATCTTACTTTCATTTTCATAACAAGCCAATCTCCTTTAGCATTTGTACCAATCATTGTATATTCACACAAAGTCCTGCATATCAACAGTGTATTATCATTAAAATCTTAAAAAATTTCAAGTGATAGAAGCTAAACCCTATAAGTCTTCATTGAAACATAACTTAAAAGCTGCTGAGAAGCATCACAAACGTTACTGTAAAAAAGAAGGTGAAATACAAATTAGAGTCTCAATTGTGATACTGATATGTTCCAACATATATCCAATAAACTGGATTCCATTGAGAAAATTAATAATTAAATAACACACAGAAAGTACAAAATCACATAAGTGGAACACCTATTCAAATTTTTATAACAGATCTTGTGCCATAGAACAAAAATTTCAAGTCCATCGTAAGAATCTAAGTTAGACATTGGAATAAGGCAAGTCAATTAAAGTAGTGACTTCGTTTGGCTTTGAGCTTCAAGAATTATAATGTGAAGTAATAATTATCTTAATGTGCAATCACCATGTACATTAGCCAATAACAATCAAAGTGACTCAGTACTGGACTCTTATTTTGAAGACAAACAACAAGTACAACCATATTTTATTGGCTGAGGGATCACTTTATTCAACATTTAACATATATCAAGTAATATAACTTTTTCATTATGAAACTACTCATGAACAAGATATCATAATATTTTGGCCAGCACCATAAACTCGAACAAATATTGCTTTTTAATGTCCATGTTGTTCGACATTGCTTACAATTGGCGTTTCATCTATGACTGTTTCACAGTGTCTCAAGGTGGGACTTGTTTGAACCATTCAAAAAGCATATCTATCCCCACTTATATCAAATTGCTGACCAAATTGATTTTGAAGATCTAAATGATGCAAGTGAATGCAATCATGTAGAAGAGTCTCTGTCAAGTGATAATAATAAAAGTACCCGACAAAGATAAAAATGACTCATTACAATATTTTCAGATCTTCCAATAGAACAATATATGCACCAAACAGATAAAAATTAAATTAAAATTTTATATCGTATATAAGTAAAAGGGAAGATAAACAGATAAACCTTTTTAATTGGTAAAACAGACGTCTCACATGTGGATCTGATGCTTTTAGCACTTCTTGCTCTAAATTTGAAGTTGTACCCTTCTTGCTCTCTTCTTGCTGCCACTACACTGAAAGCAATAAGAACTTTTAAAAACAAATCAGAAAAAAAGGAATGTACTTTCGTAGCGTGAAAGAGGAAATATAAAAATGAAAGTTTCAATCAAATTTGGGTGGTTAAGGACCAGAAGCAGAGGGAATACAATTTTTGGGTTTGACATATCTATGATAACTGAGATTAGCTCTTGGAACCACTAATAGCTTGTGAAACTAATCCATCATTCGTCTACCTAATACAGGAAATAATAATCCGTAAATTAGTAGATCTTAATAATAATAATAATAATAAATAAATAAATAAAATCTAAAGTTGTTAATAGCAAGAAACATAAACATTCTAAAGGATGTGACGTTAGTAATGGAAGGTCAATATCATGGTAATATCTGAAACATCGTCTTTGGTTTCTTTTAAGAGCTGCAGAAAAGGCGTAAGAATCTGCTACGCACAAGTTTGCATATTTAAAACTACTTTAAAGTAGACATATAACTGAAACATTACTTTGTAGAGAACTATTTGATCTTTATATATCCATTAATTGAGCACATTAGTGATGGTCATGTTGTCCCATTTCCTTATTTATAGCATATTATTGAACACATAAGGATCATATCGAAGACAACCAAACAACTAACAAAAGCTTAATTTTCACTTAAACATCTATTTATTATAGAATATCAACTGCGCGTAGGACAACGGAGTATAACAATTAGCATAACAAAAAAACAAAAAAGGAAACCATCATGCTGCAAATCGGCAAACCTCTTCCAAGAGTAGCGAGTGTAAACTAACATCAACGGCTAATAAGCATGAGTTAAGATGAAAAAATATCTAGAGTTGGTGGTCTCATTTCATATTTCTTTGCAACTTCTAAGAGAGCTTCCATCTTTTTGACAGGCCATGCATTTATTTTAGATCTTTGGAGAAAGCTACAGGAGAAAGATGGAAAAAAAAAATATCTCTTGCACTACTACATCTCTTAAACTTAAATGAACATAGAAAAACAACCCCATGTCAATTATCATACACTATGTAATAATATAATACCCAATATTATAATTGTACCCTGTAGCTATAAACAATTTTGCTAATCAATATTTGATAACTCCTAGAATTCTCAAGGACCTTATTCTGTTTATCTAGTGTGCTCGTCAAATTCAGTGCTTGTAAATTCGAGCTCAAAATAAGTACATGTTAGTTTTGTCTTATACCAAAGTTCAATCTGTAATCTCATCATTCTAATCTCATCTTTGGCCTTTGAGATTAATGTATAGAGCATATATGAGATGATTCTTTAGATTTCTTGTTATGATCCAACAAATTCATTTTCAAGGAAGACTTCATGAAATTTTGGTGCAATACATCTTAGCTTCTTCAACCATCTTGTCATAATCCGTGTGATCAGTTAGTCATTGACATATGTAAGGATCAGAAGTTCACAACCATGCTATTGCGGTGCTTTTTAGTCAACAAGCACAATATGAAAAATAAATCTCTCATAAAATACAAAAGTGACTTTGCTACATTATTTCCATAACATAGCTGATCATTTAAGTAATTAATTCCTCCATCCACAGTAAAAAATCAATTCAAAGAGTATAACTTTATTTTTTCATTAAAATAAGAGAGGATTGATTAAACTTTGACATATTTAAATTGAGCAAAAATAAATAACCATTTGAAATTTGTATTATTATATAGTGCATTATATAATATGCCACAAAACGACATAGTCCAAATTGTCAATCTCTGCTCAGAAAAACAAAGAAGACATTACCATAAAAAGCAATCAGAATAATTGACAGAACATAAATGCCTTACTGACCTTTGAGAGTTTAGTTCAAAAAGCCTTTTTCTATTCGCATTAAGTTCCTTTAGTACCATTGATTGCTAACAAATTGACACAAAATAGTCAATGAGCATAAGCATGTGCAAAATTAGTTTAAAAAAGAGACTAAGGCTACAACAATTGCCTTTAATAAATTTTATTTTTTCCATTGAGGCCAGTGGTGATGGAGAACGAAGAATAAAAGGGTAAAATCTCACGAACATTACCTCATTGTAGACGACTCATATTTCTAAAATGTTGCGACCTCTCAAAGAACATCTTTGAGGCCGTCTGGACAGAACCAAGAAATTTGGCACCAGATATTCAAAATAAAATATGAATAAGTAGAATCAGTTAAGAAAAGAGCTAAATACACAAGATAAACACCGAAAACTTCTATTGCAATTAGCGGTGCAAAATATAATCTATGGAATTCGAAGAGAAAAAGGAAAAATTCCCAAAATAGGGAACACTTACCTGTAAGTCATAAATATATGCAGCAGCGCTAACTATAAGTCCAAATAGATATATCAAAATTCATTCCATTGTTAAGCAATTAACAGAGGTGTTGATAGTTTGTTCTGTCTCCATAAAACAACAACAACCAAGAAAATTCCTCCATGAAATTGGTAACTGTTAAGAGATCTCAAAAAAAGAAAAGAAAGAAAAGAAGATAGCAGAGAGAAAACAGAAGAAGATTTGAGCAAGAATTGAGAGAGAATCATACCAGAAAATTGAAATCGTAACAGACATATACAAGATGAATAGAGCAAAATTATTTTTGAAAGAGTGATGCTTCTAGATTTGGTGTGTTATGGTGAAATAGCAGACCTAGAATGAGCACGTTAAAAGCACATGACTGAGCAAAATGATAATTGAGATGTGAAATGTCAGTTAAGCCCCTGGTCGACTATATCAGTAGACTAAAAGGAAAGTACATAACCTAAATTAGGACAAAAGTAAACATTAAGGAACATCACTTTTGTGTCATTCATAGAGGAAAGAGACAGAACCATCAATTGTTTGTACAATCGAAAACGACAGTTGAGCGCCAACGTTCCACCTCCTTCTCCAGCTTCCTGCAACCCCCCCCCCCCCTTTGGCTGTTTGAGATAGAGGCAAAGGTGGGTTCTAACAAATCTCAGCAAATGGCAACCGGAAATGGCATTTTAACCACTACTAAGGTCGGATCTTGTTCAACCCTTATTGCATTTTCACTAAAGATTCAATATTTTTAATCTTTCTTGCATTTCCCCCTAAAGATTGCAGGTTTTTTATATTCCTGGCATTATTATTATAAAGATTGTATCTTTTTTATGTTCCTGGCTTGTTTATTCTCTCTTTCTGATTGATCCAACTTGCTGGCAAAAGGGTATTTTGAATTTCTATACCTTGAGAAGTGTCTTGAGTTATAAAGCAAATGCTACTATGTAGATGTTCCATTTTGCTATTTTTTTTATATAAAAAGATTGAGGGTAGATTGTCCAATTTCCTATTTATTTAAAAAAAGAATATGTTTACCTCCCCCCCACCCCCCCCC